ACTTAGTACAACCTCTTTATCCGATGTGCTGACAAGAATCTTCGATGGACCTTATCAAACGTTTTTCTCAGTGAATCTGCTTGGTCAGTGGCATCCACAGTATTGCACGCGTGGCTGACTGCCTGTTGTCGCGTTTGGCCCGCAAATTGATGCACATTTGATGCGTCGACGTCGCGGATTCTCTGGGTCCTTCTCCCCTTGGATCAAATATGCAAAATGAAAGCTCTTTCTCTGCGCTGCCCCGCCGAACCCCCTTCCCAACCCCCTGCTTCCTTCCTTCGAGCCTATCAGTTAAGGTTTATTGATGTTTTGATAGCCATCAGCGCTCTCGGCTATTTTCGCCGTGTTCTTTCTGCTCAGCTCAATGGCTGATCGGCTCCTCGGTGGCTTCCTTATGGTGTTTGTTATGGGCCAGGAGAGGCGATTATCTCCCGATGCTTAACTTGGCCCGCGAAATTGTGTCAAAAATTATGTTGTCGTGTGACGGCAAATGGCCATTCAAGGCTCTTATCTCGGTCTCCCCTCGCAACTTAATTAAAATATTAACTCAGAGCGAGAGGGAGACGGAGAGTGGGCTCTCAGCCATGTGGTTGGAGTATATCATGGAATCACACTAAGGAAAAAAGCTGAAACCGTATTTTGAAAAAACCGGCTACGCCATGATTTTTCCAACCATTTTGTCTTAACCCAGAGATAAAGAGAGAAGGCGAGAGGCCGAGAGAAGAGAGAGAGAGAGAGAGAGATCGTGGACAAAACTATTTCGCTCCAAATCGCTGAATTTCTGAATGGCAGCGACTTGGGACACATTCGAAGTGCGGCGAATTCGAGGTGAGTTTCTCCAGTTCTCTCCTGAATTCTCTCTCGCGCTCTCTGGGCTGGCATTTATGGAATGTGAGCGCTCAAAAATGCGTTAAAGGTGTTTATAAAATTAAAATTGTGCAGAACAAGTCGCGTAAACGCAAGAGAGAAGGAGAGAAGTTGAGTAAATACTCTCCCGAGACGAGGAGAGAGAGGGCCTCTCTCCTTAACTCCCTGAGAAAAATGCCGAGATATAGCCACATAAAAGGGCATCGCATCGATGTTTAGAAAAAAGTGAATTGAGTCAAGAGACAAAGAAAATTGGTGCACACTGAGCGCCGCATACGCAATCAAGGAAAGGTGGAGAAAAGGGGTTAACGGGGCGGCAGGGGAACCTGCCACTTGCACCCTCCGCCAGCGAAAAACCAGTTCAGTGTGTGTGCGTTTGTGCGAGTGTTTGTGCATTAGAGGAGCGACCACATAACTTGGCCAAATGGGCAGATCGTGTTCCCTTTGGCTCCCCTCCCCTTTCTACGGCTCCCCTGCACCACCGCCACTGCCCCCGCCAACCCTATGTTGTAATTGTGGGAGCCACCCGAAAATGAGATTTACGTAGATTAGCCAAACAATGTGAAATTGCAACACCAAGGAACACGCGCAAAAAATGTAAAAAGCGAAACCTTAAAGTTGTTTTTCTTTATATGGTCAATCAAAGATCAAAAGTTACGAGTTGTCCTAAGATTGATTCAAAATGAAATTGGATAGGTCCACATTTTTCTGCTGAATATCTTCTACTTATATTTCGAAGTGGACTTTTCTCTCTCTGCAACAGCAATAACATCGAAATTAGATGTTAAAGCCACTAAGGCACCGAACTTATTCCGAACTTGTTGGCAGTCCGAGGTTCCAGCTGCCAAATCGCTGGCTTTCGTTTCGGGTGGTGAAAAGGGGATCGCCGAAGGGGGCAGAACGTCTTAGGAATCTGCGAGTGCAGTTCCCAGATAGCCCCACTCTCCCTTTTTCACCCTCTCCCCCAATGTAATTGCCTGTAATTTAGTGTGTAACTGCAACTGCAACAACAAATCTAAGATGACAACCACCACACGACGAGCAAATTATGCTGTCTTTTTCCACTTCTTCCATTGCCAAAAGGAAACTCCAAATTGGGCGGAGGAGTGGAGGGAAACGGGGGCCAGGAGGGCAGGCGTAGGCCGCATTTTTGTATTATTTAGTTTTTCCTTTTCTTGTAATTTGCATAATGAGATTTTAATTTTTACGCTCGCATAATAATTTCAAATGGAGCGAGGGAGCGAGCGGGATGGGATGATGAGTAATCCCCCAACGACACTCCCACTTGGACGCAAGTTCGTTGCCTAAGTCTTTTGTTTCGTGGCCCGAATTAAAGTGTAATTTGGTTAGCCATTAGCTGGTCAGACGCGCTAGAGACGACTACGGAGCCGGAATGGCGGCATTTGATCGCCTCTAATTAAATAGCATTTCCGCTTCTTCGGCTAGAAAATAATACGGCGGCAGTAAAGGCAACAACAGCTGCTTGTAGTAGCCAAGAAGCGAAAGGTGTGGCCCGAAAAAAGGCGAAGGGAAAGGAAAGGGAAGATGGCCAAAAAGAATAAGGAATTTACAGAGAGTATTAAGCGAATGATATGTATAGGATATATAACCAAATGATTATCTTAGAATCTAAAGCAGTTTATGAACGCCAAAGATAAGCGTTAAATAAGATTTTTCTTTTAAACTGCCTTTACTCAATCCAAAAGTTTTCCCAAATTAGAGAAGTTCCTCTCAAGTATTCTCTTTATTCCCCACAGTTTCTCCCGCAATTATCTTCGATAATTGCAAATTCCTTTCGATGGCTCGAATCCGATGCAAACTTTCGGGCCAAAACAATGACGAGCAGCTGGCAAAGTATTTCGGCTTCTCACTAAAAGCGAGTGGCAGTTATGCCGAGAAGTGCTCTCTTTCAGCCTTCGGGGATTCGGAGACTTGGTGCAACTATTTGTGGCTTTTGCTTTTAGAATTATTGACTTTTTTCGGAGAGCACCTCCCCTGACTTATATTCGTATGTGATTCTTTCAACGACTTTTTTCGTTGCTTGTTTTTAATTTGCTTTAGTTGCGGGCCATAAAAAAGTTTGCTGAAAGTCTGGCCCTTTGGCCAGAGCTTCTTGTTTCGCTTTTTTTCTTATTTTGTGTGTGTTTTTATATACGAAATTCCGATTTTGCGTTTTTTCAAGCTTGGGTTGGGTTTTTGGGTCTTTTATTGTCTTCACGACCACAGATTGGCTTCAATATGCGGCCAAATAACGAAAAGATCAAGGAAAGGGGACCGCGGGCGTTCGAATTTAGTTTTTAGGGCCTCTGCCTCGGACTGCGGACGCATTTTATGATTATTGAGCTCCCAAATCGCACCAGATACTGAGAGATCCCTTAGTATGGACGGTTATCCATCTCTTTCTCAATTCTTTAGATTGCCCAGTTCAGACCTCATCATTTCAGTTTCGGTTTCGGTTTCTGTTTCTGTTTCTGTTATTTTATTTTTGCGTGAGCCAATTATGCGTTTTGTATCTCGAATTTTGTTCGTTTGTGGTTAATTTTCGGAGAGCCGGGTATCAGCGGCAGCAAATCTGATTTTTCTCCATTGTAATTAAGGAAACGTGACTTTTTGTCAGATTTCATCAAATCTCTTCGTTGTCGAGAATTGGCGTTGTTATTCCAACTTATTGTTGCTTCGCTTCTCTGTCCCCGTGTCCGTTAATTTGGTCTCTCTCACGTTGTTGTACTTTTGATGAGATTTGATTCGATTTGATTTGCCTTGATTTGCGGAAATCATCTAAGCCAACGGGCGAGGAGAAGGGATCTGTGTAGTTAAGACGAAATTAGCTCGGAGGGTGCTTTGGATCTGCCAAAAATAGGCATTCCGGACCAAATTACACCCAGAAAATGGGGAAACATTAACTAGATATTGAGTGAATCAGATTATCACAAACCTAATGTTGACCTATGTTTTCATAAAAATTCATCGTTTTTAACTAAATTCCTAGCCTTTTCGATAGTAATGTACTCTTCGCCTTTGCCTACTTTTTGTTGTAAACATTGCACTGAGTTGAAACTCGTGTTGTTGTTAAATTGCTGGGAAGCTTGGAATCGCGGCTACATTTTCAGTCAGTCGGTCGCGGGTTTTTCCCTCCGTTTCGTTGTCGGTTTGTTTTTTAGTTGTTTTCTGAGAGACAAGAGAGGTCACATTTGATAGTCTGAACAAAAATCTTGTCGACGTCTCGAGACGCTCTGGTAGATATATCTATGTGTTCAGAGAAGAATGGGCCCAGCCGCCGAAGAGGGAAGAGCGAACAAAATGCCTTCGTTAAGCGCTGGCAACGGTTTCAGGCCTTGTATCTCCGTTGTTGATGTTTTTTTCCAAACTTTGTTCCCTATTTTTGGGCTGCCCATTTTGTTTTTGTAAGCGGAGAAAAATGTTATAAAAATGTAATTACCCGATGATGAATGGATTAACTACAAAAGAGTGAGAAGCCTGCTTGGCTCAGGGTCCGAATGAGGATGGTAGTTGGGGGGATTTGGGTGGTGTTTTTCTGGAGGGACTCCGAACGGGAACTGCTTGGAATTTGTGCTCAAAGAAGTTAACAAGACGTTAACAGCACTTCAAGGCATTCAATCAGTGTGGTAAATACCCTTTCCACAATATTTCAATATTTTTATTACCAATGAATGTTCTTTATTGAAGTTTTAAAGTGATCTGACCTGATCCTATGTGGCTAAGTAAAAGATTTTTAAAATCTGCATTTGCACTACCCACGTTACCAACCTCAACATGGTTTCCACATACCCTTCCGAGCCTAACTGCAACTCGTGGCATGCACCGCTTCCATCTAACCCCCTTCCCCTCACGACTCCCTACGGATGTCGAAGTCGATGTTTGAGGCCCGATGTCTGATTTCTGATGTCCAACGTCCGATGTCTGATGTCCGACTGACTGATCTGACTGGGAGCGGGTAATTGATGCATGAGATTAGTTTTGGGGCCCAAGTACGTGGAAAATCCATAAGCGACGCTCGTTGTGTGGATTCGAGGCAGTTGGCGAGACAAACGTTTTAATGACCCGCCCGGAAAGTGGGTCACCATTGGGAAAACGGGAGCTGGAAATGAAATAGTACTGAGCTAATGACTCACCTTGAGTATGCACCTGCCCACGGGTTCGTTCTCAGCGACGGAAACGTTGTAGAAGCTCTGATCGAAGATCGGTTCGTTGTCATTTACGTCGTGGATGGTTACCAGGACGGTGGCGGTGGAGGAGAGGGGCGGAACTCCTCCGTCCCTGGCGATGACTGTTAGCTGCGGCACCGGCTCCGTTTCGCAATCGATATGCGATCGGGTGGTGATCAAGCCCGTTTGTGGGTCAATCTGAAACCATTGGGCATGGGTTTCAGGTGTTTCGGCCAGCGAGTAACTCAACGCCGAGTTCAAGCCCTCATCGCGATCGTGGGCCAGAACCTGTAGCACCGATGTACCCGGATCAGCTACCTCCATCACATTGGCGTGGTAAAGATCCTGCTCGAACTCAGGTGGATTATCATTGACATCGGTTATCCTCAGGAATATCGACTTGGAAGCGTGCAGCGGGGGAGTTCCCTTATCGGTGGCTATAACACTGAGGGTGTAATTGGAAACCATCTCCCTGTCCAGCGGCAGGTGAACTATCACCAAGTAAATACTGTTATCTCTGGTGGTCAGTGCGAAATGACCGTCTCCTCCGTTCAGAGTCACATTCACGTTGGCGTACTCCGTTTTCGAATCGGGGTCGTGTACGGAAATCCTGGCCACAAACTCCCCCGGCTGAGCTGACTCCGATATCTTTGGGGAGGCATCGTCACTGAGGAAAATCACATTTATTGTCGGTTGATTGTCATTCACATCCGTAACTCTTATGGAAACAAAGGCGGTTGTTTCCAGCGGCTGTTCACCATGGTCTTTGGCCACCACCACGAGTTCATGAAGCTCCTTGGTTTCAAAGTCCAGGGCCTTGTTGATGTAAATAGCTCCTGTCCGAGGATCTATCCGAAACATTTGCTCCTTGTCGCTTTGCCTCCTATTAATAGCATACTCCACCAAGCCATTCTCATCGGCATCCGTGTCTGAGGCATACACCTGAAGAACACTCGTACCCACAGTGGCATTTTCTGGAACTGTGGCAAAGTATCTGCTCTGATTGAAAATCGGCTGATTGTCGTTCACATCCTGAATGGTAATATTGACGGTCATGAACCCCCGCAACGGAGGAGTTCCGCCATCTAAAGCTTCGATTAGGAGGCTGTAACCTGGTGTGGTTTCTCTATCCAGAAACCCGCTGATTTGCAGGTCCAAGTACAGGACACCATCCCTCTCCCTGTGGGATGACAGCCTAAAGGCTTCGTTAACATTCCCCGACACGATATTATATTTCTGAGTGTTGTATGGTTCCAGGTCAAGGTCCCTAGCTGGGAGCAGAGTTCTCTTGACCTCCCTTGGGGTGTTCTCTGGGAACTCTATGTGCATCGAGGGTTGTGGAAACGTGGGGGCGTTATCATTCTCATCCTTCACCGTGACCAGCACTCGAATATTACGGCCACTCAGCGGAATGGCCACCAGACTATAAGAAGCTCGAGTTTCTCGGTCCAGTTTGACCTTAGAGCGGATTTCTCCTGTGGCTCGATCTATAGCCAGATCCGTTTCCACTCCCGCCTCTGCCACGATTATATACGGCGGACCACTATCTATCCCATCGAAGTCCCCTATGTAACCGATCTGGTGATCCACAGGCACGCCTTCAAAGACCTCCAGTTTTCGCTCCCTCTCTTTATCGTTAGAGGCAGCCTGCGTGGATCCCAGGAGCAGAATCAACAGCAGATGTAGTAAGCTACTCCTCAGCAGGTGTGAGGGATGCAGGGCGGGTGGCATAAGCTTTGATTTGATGTTGGAACGTCTCCGGCATCGATGGAACATTGTTAAGTTCTTCGGCTGGTGATTACCCCTCGTCATTTTCCCGGCGACTGCCGAACCCAATGCGGCTTTCATGGCTGACGGATCCACTCTGGGTGGATGTTTCGAAAGAAACTAACAGGAGCTAAGAGCGTCCTTGACTGAGATTGCCTCCGTCCAGCATGGCCATGGTAAATCTAAAAGGAAACCAAAAAAAGATTCCATCAATTAATTTTTGGTAACTTATGAAAATGCATAAATTTTTAGCAGTGTACTAGTGACAAATGTGCTGACCATAATCACCGCCCACACTTAAAGCCTTGCACCTAGACAAAGAGCCAACTTAAAGAACCCCCAAGAGCAGAACCCATAGTCGCAGCTAATAGACTGATAACTGCCCCAATGCGCTTAGCTCCGCCTGATGACTGCTACGATGATGATGGTGAGGTTGGAGATGGAGGCTTACGCATGGTGGATGCATTTCCATTTGGCCATTTGGGGGAATTTGAAATGCTAATAGACGGCCAAGAAAGATCAGGAACGAAGACAAAAGACCCGAGACGCAGACGATGTCGATTCTACCTGCGTGCGAAAGGTTCAAAGGCTAAAAGGGTCTCGGTATGCTTTTCGGACCTCTGTTATACTGGTTCTGGTTTTGGGATTGGGTTTGGGTTTGGGTTTGGGTTTTCGGTTTTGGGCCCTCGATGAAATATGGCTGGCACACACAAACGCAGACGCAAACACACACATTCCGAGAGAAATCGAACAAACAATTCCTCGGCCAAAGTTGCCATTGCTGGATGACCAATTCCAGACTCAGAACTAATGCCATGTGGCTGGAATTGGAATCGAAATGGGAACGCTTCGACGGCCGAGCAATTCGTGGCAAACAATTTAGTTAACAAGACCATGACTAACACTTTTTTTGAGTGGCCAAAACAACATTTGTTTCCACTGCAATTTGGAAAGATTTTTCTCGCGCGATAAGCGAAAATAATAAAAGGAAAAGGGAGGGCGCGCAGACGAACAATATATAAAATTATGATTATTATTTTGGGAATGCCTTAGAAGTTTCATTTCGTGATCAGATAGAGATCTCCTAACTCCAACCGCTCGAGAACTCGGCCCAGATGATCCTGTTTGATCGTGGCTAGCAATTAAAACCGAATTAATGAGTCTTGGGAAACGAAGAGATCAAACTTGGCGTTAGAAGACTGTCGGATTCTTCCCCTCCAGTGATTGACATACGACCATCATCCTCTGAGGAAAGAGAGATTTCTGCGGATAAATTAGCCAGCCGGAGCCAGTCTTTCATGTCCATCGAGAGATGCCGCTACCATTAGGTATCTAATAACTTTATAATGATCATGTCCCTTCCTTCCATGAGGCATGACATGAGGCGTAATTTAATAAACTGCAACGGGGCCTCCATCAAAAAGTCGAGGAGTACGTTAGGTCTGAACTCTGTGATACGCAAATTACCCCAGGAGAAGACGGATGAAGATGGAGATGGAGATGGAGATGGAGAGTGAGCTGCCGTTGCGGAAACGTCAGTTTGATTTGCACTTGTCATAAGTTTAGATGAACTGCTAATACCCAAACACATTAGAAAGCCCGTGGAGCGGTTACCGATCCCCAAGTCCCGCTCCCGATCCCGATCCCTGGCGCCCCAAGGTGGACAGCTCCCGTCCAGATGCGCAGATCTGGGATCGTAGAGCAGTCCGATTTGAGTGCCAGCTGGCGGTCGGTCGCCTTGCGTGTGGCTGCACCTGAGATCTGAGATCCGTTGGAAATGGTGGAGTGGACAGACCATGAGGGCTGTGGGAATGACCAGTGGATGGAACAAATGGGAGCTAGCACTGCGAGAAAATAAGTTAAGATCTACCCCATCATCTAAGAAGAAGTAAGAAGTAAGTCAACTCTAATAAAATATGACTGCCTAAAGCATGTTTCAAGGAATATAAATCTCTTGATTTGATTTTGTATAAACCCCCATTAAACAGCCAGTCTGGTGGGCAATATTTCTTTCTGTGCACTAATAAAAGAGTGAATATGGCAGAATGGGTATCTTGGGGTTCTGTGCACTCTGCCGGCATCTAATATCGAATGACAAAGTTGTAATTATATTTGTGGTTCCAGTTGTTTGCTGGAGTTCCAGGGAGTTCCTAACAATTTCACGTTGCCAACCCAGGTTCGGGCCATTAAAAATTATGCCTTTTCCCGGGAGAATTTTTGATGTTTCTGTTTCTTTTTTTTTTCGTTGTTTTTACGAGCGCACAAAAGGTCGTAAAACCGTACCAACAAAAAGGAGGAAAGCTGAAAAATCAGAAACAAAAACAGAGCGGCATCAATAAAATCTAGTTAATAGCAAATAAAGGTAACAGCGAATACCCATAGCCCTGTAGAGCGAAATAAAACGTACACAATCATAACGATAACAGCGTAAACTTTACAGTCCAACTAATTAGTCTGGGAATGAGGAGAGGGAGGTGGGAGCCTCGGGATGCAGAAACCTAGAGGATGAGTCCCAATCCGGGGGAATTCGCTGGCAGAAAGCTACTGTAACTGCAATAGGGGAATTTTCATTAATATTAATCGTAAAAATCAGTGTGCTTTGGGAAACTGCATACAAAGAGTAGGAGCAAATATTATTTAAGTCTTCTATTTATCGAAACTTTCTATCGTGGGTCAGTCTGTCTGCTAGTGTGGTTGTCGTTGCTAAGAGCCAAATGGCTAATCCACTGCCGGGGTTTACGCTCCAATTTATGGGCTGAAAGGAGCCGTGGATTCAACAACCGGCAATCAAATGGGAAACTTTACTGGAGCAAGAGTTTCGCATGGCCACAAAAAATGGGAGAATCGGTAGCCGGAAGAAGTGTTTTGCCAACGCTTAATCACTGGCCAAACAGCGGGCAGCTAAGACAAAATAAAGGCTCTTTAGAGACTTCATTAACATGCACATTACACATGTAGCCGAGATTTTCTACTCGAACAATTAAAAGAGTCGAAGAGGCAAATCAACTTGTTTGGGCTGGGATGTTGTTGTTGCCGGGGTTCCGCTCGTGATTTAACTGCAAATTATGCAAAATTGTTGTCTAAAACCAGAGGCTAAGTAGGTGGTAAGTAGACGCTTTAGAGCGTGTTTAATTAAATGTTGAGTAATTTATGAAAACTGCCGAGGGGGGCGGAGATCGGAGACCGGAGTCTGGGCTTATATACGGCCAGTCTGCCAGCTAATAAGTTACTTCTAATGACTTTCTAATTGTCCGACACACACGAGACGGCGGGCTATAAACAGCGAAACTTTAATTGTCCGCATATTAATCGAACTCATTTAGATGCAAATCCAAAAGATCCGACAGGCCAGATCCAAAGCCAACCAAGCGTGGATCACGTCAGATATTCAGACCTGCGAAAGCGTGAAGTAGACACGATAGTTTTTCTGCTAGGAAAAGTGCGAAAATGCAAGTGAAACCGAGTGGCAAACAAAGATTTTCGCTTTCATTTCGATTTCGTTTTGCATTTATTGCATTTCACTTTTTAAAGGCCCTTAACCGGTGTAAATCAAGTGGGATTGACACTTTTTAATTGCCAGTGGAGGATGCTTGATTCTGGCGAGGAATCGCACAGCATAATGAGCGCTAATTAGTGGCAAGTGACAGCGAAAAACAGGGACACAGATGAGATGTTGAGGATCATATCTTATCGCCACAACGACAGCGGCAGCATCCACAAGTTGCAGTTGGGGTTTTCCTCCTCTGAAGTTACAAGGCGTTGCATCAAGAATTCGTATGACATGGTTTTTTATTTTATAAAACAGAACAAGGGAATAGTATATTTTCATTTTCAACTGTTTCATTCTTTAGCTAGTCCCAACCTATCAAGGGGACTCGACCTAACCGTGGGCAGCGCATCTCCGCTAGAATTATATGGGGTATTAATAGATTTACTCCATCACCGGAAGCCTGTCCACGGCATCATCTTCTCGCTGACTCAGTTCCTAAGTTGTGTTTGGGTAGCCGAAAGCATTTAGCAATGATTGTCATGGCTGAGTGTGGTTTTGGCCATTGTTTGGCGCGTTTTATGGTCGCCATTAAGGCAGCCCATAATGCTAATCCCCGACCGCTCGATCCGGAGAGGGGTTCATTAACCCACAGCAGCACCCGCCCCTCGTCGTAAACACACAAATATTTCTCAATCAGCATCCGATTTCGATAGAAGCTAAACCGAGTATATAACGTTCCGTTCCCGTTTATCTCGGGCGTTTCATTCTGGTTCTATAACGAAGGCTGACCAATAAAACAAATCAAATTATGTAGCCAACATGTTTATGGCTCTGAGAAACAAGTGTGAAAATTTAAAACGAATAACAGCTTCCCTAAGCTGGGTAGAATATCCATAAAATACACTCAGTTTACAGTAGAGCTTCTCTGTACTCATATTACAAATATTGTTACTTAACTTATTTTAGAAAACTCTTCTTCAAGCTATAAGTTCTGTTGATTGTGATTCTGTCTTCTGATCTGATTGATATCATTCCGAATTTAATCTCGTTTTAATGGTCTTTGCCCGTGCAATATCAGGGCCAACACATGTGGGCCATAAAACGGGCCCGAGTCTCAGGTGGTTCAATACGACATGCTCGAATTAAGATGGTTATTGTGTTAGCAAATATTTATGCCCACCTGGCACGAGATGGGGACGCGAGTCGAAACTACAACCTGTTCCATTCTTTTCCCAGCTAGAGAAGTGTCTTCATCCAGCGACGGACGATGAACATATTCGCCGACTAATCACAGGCCAAGTCACATTCGAATGTCCGCGGTGCCAACTCGCATGAAGCTCAACAAAGAAATTAGCGCGAGGAAAATCCCCTTTTCCCTCTTTCCAGAGCGGGTGTTTGCAGCAGGTGCGTGTCTCTCCGTACAGAAAGGAAAATATTTACGATGCGCTCAATGTATAAAGATATTACTGCGGAAATATATGGATACTATGATCATAGTAATTTATTTTATTTTTATTCAGGATGTGCTTTTATTTTAGTCAGAAATTAAATACACCAATAAAAATATGTCTCTAATTTGCTGCTTTTTTTTTCTTGCCGTGTAGACATCGGCATCGTCTAATGTAATTTTCCCGGCACATCGAGCTGAATGTGTGTGGTCCGCTCTGATGGCTTTTTCCTCCGCACACATGCGAAAATAGATTAAAGCGTAATCTTTGTTTGTACAGCACTAAGCATTGCGGCAATTAGTGGGGAAAGGGGAAAGCCGGCGGACACTGGAGCAATTTAAAGCGCATTAAACTGCGTTTTGCAAGTTTGTGTCCTCAGTCTTTCGTTTGAGCGCCCGCACCTTTAGACGAACACCTGCCGCCCAGAGATAAACCGTAAGATGAACTTCGAGTCCGTGACCGTTAGGTCTGATAAAGCAAATATTTAGAAGGGGCGGGGCTGGAAACACACACACACACACAGACACAGAATGGGAAATGAAAATTATATTTTATTCTGTTCTCCCTTCTCTCTCGGCTCAACTTTGAACTCGGCGGCCTTTTGTTTTCCCGTTCGGGGTTTCAGGCCAACTTGAAGGGAAGTGTAAATTAAGGGCCATAAAAACTGGGCCCTAATGTCCGACTGCTCTGGCTTTTAGCAGCATGAAAATTGAATAAGGCCCCCGGACGAGCGGTTCGTAATAATTTAACAACGCACACAAATTTAATTGGAAAAGCATTAAAAAATCCGAGCACGCCTCGGACTTCTTTCTCGAAAATTGTCAATTATGAAATAGTTTGTCGTGGCTAGAAAGAGCTATGTACCACAAATCATATTAACTAAGAACTGCATTTGATTTTTAAATAACAGGAAATTAAAGTTTTTATTATTTTCAACAAGCCATGCCTTTGGCCAATCTAATCCACATTCGTATCTTCTCTTTTCTCAGATTGTCTTCCAATTCTGAGGTATTGTCACAGAGAGTGGTGTTTTTCCAGGAATCACAGCTGGGCGACACTTTGCGCACATTTCCATTCCCTTCACGTGTCGCTCCGTATCGACGGAGATTAGAGATCGATCGCCTCAATCGCAGTCGCTTGGCGACGTGTAAAACAGGTAGAATAAAATTCCCAATGCCGTTCTCGGTCTGCCAGCCACACAGCACTACACCAACGCCAAGAACACCGACTCTATTTGTTTTTCACATTTTCCTCGGGAGCGGACCAAAAATAAAAAGAGGCGACGACGGAAAAGAGGAAAACTCGAACAGCACTTGGAGAAATGGAATACAAAGTGGAAGGCGAAGAAGAAATAGACAGCCGTAGCAGCACCCAAGAGGAGGCGGTTCACATTCACGGCGAGTGTGTGTCTTCCTCTTCTGCAGCCACCACCTCTTTCTTTCTCGGGTCCATCGCTTTCGATTACCAATTTGACTATTTCAAGTTGTTTTCGCTCCTGTTTCCCCAGCACAAAAAAAGAAAAGAAAACATCTAATTAGGCCCCAGCCAAGCCATACCTTTCCATATTCTGGCTGTTTACTTTGGATTCTGGGCCCTTTCATCTTTTATTTTTAACTCTCGATGGGCTTTTCAATGTTGTACTTTCAACCGTTTTGGGTTTACCTACTGTTTGCCCCAAATTGCTAAGCGTTTTTCTGTATAAAATAGTTAGGAAAAGCTTTAGGTGCTGACTGATAATATTTATATATTGCTGCGAGGGTTATCTTTCTTTCCAACCTATTTTTAATTAACTTCTGAAATTTCCCGTTCTATGGTCCCATTAAATATTCCCAAATATGTTTGTCTAACTTCAATCTTCATGGATTCTAACGGACGCCTAACTTAGGTGTTTTCATTGGCCATTTCTCTTGAGATGATAACTGTCCTCCTTGACATTGTCCCCCTCAGAGCTGGCTCATTTTTGGGTGGTACTTCTCATCTTTTCGCTTACATTTCGTGGCCTCTTCGCTGCTGCGGTGCTGCCTTTGCTTTGGAGCCGCTGGAGCGCTGCGGCTGTTGCCAATATTTTTCACCAAAGGCGCAAACGGCAGCAGGGAAACAACAGCAACAACAGGGCGAAAACCCGCTGCCACAAACACAATGTTGTTGTATCTTTAGCCACACGGCCGAAGCGAGCCAAAAAGAACTCGTTTGACTTGTTGAACAATATTTTTTTTCGCCTTTTACTCTGTGTATTTGTTGTGCTGCTGCCGCCGTGTTTTGTTTGTGTATTCACCGTTCGATTTTCTCGGCTTGATTTTAAGAAACACACTATTTAGCTTTTTGACGATATTCTAGGCGATTTGATTATTTTCCTTTACGATTTTCCACCAATCTTTACTCACACGCGGCGAAAAAGCAGCGGCGACGACGACCAAAAACGTTGACGAAAACAAAAAGAAAAACGCGGCGAAGAATGCGACGGCGATTTTCAGGGGCTACAATAATCGGTTATTCATTCGATTTACTTCGATTTGTCTGCACTGCACTTGGATTTTCTTGCACTCTCTTTCGGACGTATTTGAATACGTTTATTATTATTATTATAGCCAGACTTTTGCGGACTCAAATTCAAATTCCGACGGCGACACGAGGAGAACGCGACTGAGAAACGAGTTTCCTCCGCTCGCTGCGATTCTCCAATGTGGCTGCGACGAAAACACACGACAGACTGACGAGCCCTGAAGACCGGAGACGGAGACTGGAGCCGGGCTCGCTCTCTCTGTCTTCAGGATGCCCGAAACCCACCTCGAAACCCACCTGTGGTCAAGAGATCGCTGTAATGAAGATGGCGAGCCCCGAAGAATCGCCGCGTGGTGAATAGTTTCTCCCCAGAGTGGTTTGGTCGGTTTCTCCCAGAGATCCGGAGAAGAATTTCAGAGGTGCACACACAATACACAAAATAAGATCGACGACAGGTCCACAATTAGCCAGGGAAGAGAGCTACCTATCTACATGTGCTCTCTCGCTCCAAGAGAAGCCCATAGCCACCATAACTACCCATTGTTTTTGTGGCGAGTCCAGGCTCTTCTGGCATGTAAATTAGCTGCTCTCCGAGGGAGAGAGCTCACCTGAGCAGCATAAACCGGTTGGCAGTCATGCTCACCTGTGTGCCAAGTTGTTGTTGCCGAGTGCAGTTGAAGTGCTGGCTCTACACTGAGAAGAATTGTGTTACAGAGTTGGATTTATCGCAACATAAACTTAAACTTATTTTATGAGTTAAAAATCCAGGTAGGTTAAGTTTAGGTAGTAAAAGAAAAAAAAGGCATCCGCCGTGTTCGAACACGTATTTTTCCAATGTGTACAGTGGAGTGGTCAAAGGGGATCGAGGGGGACCCAGGGAGTAAAGTGCGGCGTTGAGTGTTTGGTATGCAGACCCCCGGCCCCAACCCCTTCCGTTGCACCATCGTACGCCTCCTGCTCCTGGTTCTTTCCCATTGTTTTTCGTTTTTCGGGGCTTCGAAATTAGGCAGGAGCAACAAAGTTGCGTCAACAACCAGACAATGCAAATGTTGCGTAAGTTGCAACAAACGAAAAAAGGAAAGGGGTAAGGAAAGGGAGTTATAGAGATCGCCTATGGATAATGGCAATTTGTGCTGCGATCCAAAGATACAATTTCTAACTGATATATTCAGAGTAGCGAGAAAATCTGAACTTCAGCGAAAAGATTAAAAATGCAGTAGTAGTAAGAACAAATACTTTATTACACATTCCTAATTATTTGATAGCCCCATAATGTGGGTTAAATATAATAATTTCAGGCCATTGAAAGGGCAATCGAAGTTCACTTTCCCGTTCTTCAAGTGGTTGACTTTTGCAGCCTTCATCGCGCTTGCCAATCAATGGAAGCAATTACAGATCTTAAGAACTAAATACTTTTACTATTCGTTTTCCTCACGAACCATCGGAAAATTTGGCGCCTCGAGTAAAAGTTGCTGCGGCAACATTAGCTGAAATTCCGACCCGCTTTTTGGGGTGGGACCATCGTGGAGATGCCACAGAGCAGATTCCGATTCCGTTCCCAATTCCGCGGAACTCTCGAGCACTCGCAGATTCTGCAATTTGTCTGGGAAACGTACACGAAAAGTGCGTGCCACATCCCAGGCAGCAACATTGCAGCGTTTTCTGTTTGATTTGAAGCTCGTTTATTGGGAATGCAGCACGTTGGTGGCTCAATGGTCAAGTGGGAATGGTAAAGGAATCGCCCTGGTGGATCACGCCGATTGCGGGAGGTTCTCTTACCGACAATGGACAATGGTTAACCATTTGGTCATTCGCCGCTTGTCAAAACCGTAAATGACGTCGCTTAGCTGTCGGCTTGCATTTGCCACTTTTCAAATGAAATGAGTTAACAGCAACAACACCGGGCACACAACAGTCTTGACAGGCACTTGAAAAGCAAGAGAGTAATGTCTGGCTGCACAGAAAGAAAAACTGTCGAAGGGTTTGTTAAAAAGCTTTTATTATTTAACAGAAATCTTATAATTTATTGGGAATCCTGAAAGGAGAGTGGATTAGCTGGAAGTGTGAACTTTTTCTTGAAATATTTAAGATACATTTTAAATATAATTTTGGCATATATTTTTTAGGTGTATACAAAGCCATCAAAGATCTGGGCTAGAGCGGATAAAGCTGGTCACTGCCGCCACCCACACGCAGACCCAGATCAGAGGCGTACTTGGATTTGTGGTAAGCAGGGGGAAACGTTTCCCGCCCGCAGCTTGCAAATCAGTTAATGGCAACGGGTACTATTGAGACCCAGCCAGAGTTGAGCTGATGGATTTATGGATGGAATGCGATGGATGGACGGATGGTTATGGTGGATAATTTGCAGCAGCCATTGAAATTTGGCACTCCGGTGCAGAGGAAGGGAGATGGCATTGGATTAGCAGATCAGATCAATCCATCAGCGGGCATCGGCATCTCCAGCTGCTTCCTGCTTTGTCAACATTTCGGGCCCAGAACAAGGCTCGACAATTCAGCATTTCAGATCTCGGTTTTCAGTTTTCAGCGATCGTCGATCGACGTTCAACATCCAGCTTGTTGCTGAAAGCCCACACACAAAACGACAAAACGAAGCGAATCGGAATCCATCATGCGAGTAATATGCAAAGTTACATAGCTGCAACATCCTAGCCGGCAAAAATATGGAGGAAGAGGATGGGATGGTATGAGGATGAGGATGGGGATGGGGATGCGGACTGGGCTGGGCCATTCATTCGCCTTAAAATCAATAGCAACATTGTCGTTGTTGTAGTTGCTTTTTTGCTGTTGTTGTCGTCATCATCCTTGGAATCGTCATCATCAACAACTGCAAACAACATTCGCCTGTCAGCGGCAACATCATAAATTGTTGTTTAGCCACATGTTGCTGGCTGCGACTGCGACTCCGACTCCGACTGAGAATGAGACTGGGACTTGGACTGCATCTCCTTCTCCGTCTTTTGGCTTTATTCAGGCTCCTCAAATACTCTCCCTCCTGCCAGGCTCTCTCTTCCGTTGGTCTCTGCAGGCGCGGCTCTTGTTTAACACACTTCCCAAATGTATATTGCGGACTTGGGTCTTTTCAACATCATATGGATTTTAGGAATATTCTAGACTTGAGACCCGCGGATCGATATAAGGATTTTTAGCTTTAAATGGTCCGAATTGGACACCAGCAATAACATCTTTCAATGTTTTATTTCGCATTTACATAATATCATTAACTTTATTCTCAACGAATAAAAATTTTAACAGCTTATGTCTAAGCCAAAAATGCCACCTTAAGTGCTAATAAAATATGGTCATAAATTAATCTTTATAGCTTAATTTTTGCAAATCTTTTGAGTTGCCACTTTTATACTTATAAAAAGTATATATAATCGTATAAAACCACATTTCTATTGCTAACATTCTAGAACAAGCTTTCTAAACCACCATTTCCTAAAGTTCATCGTAGATATTTGGCAGCATAGGGTATGCGAGTTCTACCCACCAACTGAAGTAGCTTTTCCTTCCCCTCGGTTGCTGTTTCTGCTGCTCGCTGATTTCCTGGCCCGATAGTAAGTTTTATTTATTTGCGCATTTGCCTCCATTCTGCTCCTGTCCACCTCTAAGATACCGGCGTAATCCTTCGCTATGGCCATGCAAATCTGGTCGATAGAACTGGTGGAATTCCTGCTCTGATCTCGACCTGTCAACGGGCTCATCATCAAATCATAATTTGAATCCAGAATACCATTCAATACCGCCGACTCCTCCCCCGCCCCGATCTTCCTGGGAGAGGGGCTGGGGGGAAATGTCAATAAATTTCGCTATTTTATTTCGGTAGCCGACGCCGTCATCGTTGTTGTCGTTGTCGCTGTCGCTCTGTCGACCCCGGCGTCGTTCATTAATCTCTAAATTATGCGAATTTTTAATGAGACGCGCATTTTGTTCGATTTTTCATGCGTTCGTACGCCTCCTGCTCTGAAGATGCCATACACTCGAAGAAAATGATATGAAATTATGCAGATATGAAAGTTTTTATACCAATTTCAAGGTTTTTACTTATGTTTAGTAAAGACTTTATGCCCGATTCACCTTGTTTACTTCAATAATTAAAGGAAAACTACTTAAGAAGTAGTACTAAGTTCTCTCAGTGTATAGGCTCGCGGGTGAGAAAGATCTCTCTCGGATCTCGGGAGTTCCGCAACTTGTTTGGCCTTCTGTTTTAGTTTTAATTGAAATACGCTTTCGATATAAAGCCAGGTTTAGAATGGCCCGACTTGGCCGCCAGCTTGACTTGGACTTCTCTCCAGCCAGTCGGCTGATAAGGCGGCGTTCCACTTACATGAGCCATGAGCCGAGCCGAGCGGACAACTTGGGTGGGTTCTCCGGCTGTGCTAATGAAGTCGGACTGCTGCGCCGATCTGGTATAAATAATAGCACGGGAAAATTAATTCCTAAATTTGGCTAACCTTTGGCTCTGGCGCTTGGCCTTTGATGTCTGCCTGGGATCTAGCTCGCTCTCTGTGAGTTCCCCCAAAAAAGACGAGCTGAATCCATAAAAGCGCCATAAAATACTAATTGACTCCAACTGGGGATTAATTCTAGCGGTGAATTTATGTTACACAACAAGCGAATTGAATACTTGCCGGTTTTATGCGAAATTTATTGAAATCCCATCGTTTTGTCAAATGACTTATGGCGGGAAGCGAACGAGCCCTGGGTTCTCTGTGATTCGAGCCTAGCTCTGATCGATTCTTTGTCGCCGAAATTATGTAAACGCTTCCCATAAACCAAAATTATGCATAAATTGCCGGCATTCAGAGAGAGTTCTCCGGAAACCTGAGCCAAACGGCAGCACAAGCCTAAGGGGTGTGGTAAAGAACTTCTCTAGCTGGTTCAGCGAACCTCTAAAAGTTTCTCATATTTATACCACGTACTAATAAACTTTAATGGGTATATAACTAACAACTAACTTTGAAGTATTGAATTTTGAATACTGAAAAAATGAATTTTTTATTTTTATATAGGTTAAATCCTTTTACCTTTAGTCCTTGTCTTATGGCCATCTTTTTAAATCAAGGAAAATCTTTAGGAATCCTAGCCAGAGATATCTTGTAGTCTGAAAAGTGTAGACTGTTGAGTGTAGAGTTTCCAGACACTTGGCTCTGGGTACCATTCCAC